AGGCGTGAGCCACCGCACCCGGCCAGCAGTGTCATTCTTAAGCGAGAGATTTAAAAACAGTTTCCATTCAAGAATGCATTGCAATCAAGGTTTTATTTAGTTCTTCATTACAGGATATTTCTTCATTTTTAATTTGTTTTTCCTAATGACTAGTTTCAGCCAAGTATAAAAATGCTTATTGTGAAAAAAACAATACGTTTGTGAGGGAATTTTAAGATTAATTTCTTATTGATGGTATAATTGATATTTAAAATTTTGACGTGTTAAGCTGATAAATATAACTCTTTCCTTCTCTACCATTTTCCATTCATATTCAAATACTAAAAAAAATCTTCAGACATGATATTTGTCTCCTCATCATTCATAAACAGATGGAAACATGTTCTAGAGACTGGAAATCCAAAAATTTACTTTATTTCCTTGGTGATTTGGATGAATGACATTCCTTACCACAAATGATCGATTTGGACCGAATAATGAGAATGCAAGCCAATGAATTTTCTTTTCTTCTCTTTAGGTATAGAAGTCTGAAGCATTTTAATTATGATGTCTGCCAGAGTTGCTTTTTTTCTGGTCGAACAGCAAAAGGTCACAAATTGCATTATCCAATGGTGGAATATTGTATCCCTGTAAGTACCAAGCCATTGTTTGTTTGGTTGTTTGTTTTTAAATACATTGCTTTTGAATTAACTAGTGTCTAAAATTTTATTCAGTTTATTTATACTTAACTTTTTTTTTGGAAAAAAGATCACTTTCAAGATTGCTTAATTATTTTTTATTATTGTTTTGTTTTCTTTTAAGTAAATACATCTATGTAGAGTTAATGCAGAAAAATTACCCTTTTTTCTGAAAAATTAATTTATTAACTTGTTTTACATTTTTGTTTTGATTTTAAACTTAACTTTTTTGATAGCAAACTCTTTTAAGAACTCACACTGACCTACATTGAAAATGATACTATGTAATAAAAAAACATGTTTCTTTTAGACATATTTAAGATATATCTTCATAGTTAAATATTATATTCATGTTAGCAAAAATGCAGGAAATGGAAAAATTAAAAATGTCATTCATAAATCTAGCTCTTGAATAAACTACCTTTTAATATTTTTCTGTGTCTAATTTTGTTAAGATTTTATTCATTTTTATATTCATGTATTTTTGTTCCTAAATTTTTCACTCAGCATTTTTAGTTAAGTGTTCCCCAAGTTGTCACACTGTATAATTTTTGCTAGTCACAAAATTTTTAATTGAGTGAATTACTCTAATGTAGTAAACCATTCCCTTAAATTTGGACATTTAGTTTATTTTCAATTTTCTAATATTATCAACAGTACTCATAAACATCTTTGTGAAGATAGCTCTTTCCATATATTACCTAAATTACATTTCCATAGAATAAAGCACTAGAATAGATAATCTGAGTCAATGAATATCAGTATTTTTATGACCAAAATAATTGATGCCAAGTTGTT